GGGGGGGGGGGGTGTCAGTATTACTTTTTTTATCCTATAGAAAGATAAAATATACAAAAATAACTGTACTGCCAAAAAGGGGAAACAGCAGATAACAAAGAATAGAAATGTGACAATAAAATAATGAGATGTGTTTCCATTATTTTTCCTTCTTTCCTGTAAAAATCCCTCCCCCCACCCTCACTGGCTTTATCCTTCAGCAGAAATATATACACATCTCTGACAAAGCAAAACAAGTCTCTGACTTTTTCTCTTAAAGCGAAAGTTCACACTGTCTACACTGCTTTCCTTAGTCTCTGTATCAGGCTTCTGTCACTACTTCAGTGAAGTCCATACTGCCATCCATGGCCACCCAATTCCCAAGGCAAAAAACATTTTACTATGCTCAATTTTTTTTAAGCATTTGACACATTTAAATATTCCTTTAAGATAATCTTTGGATTTCCATAATGCTACTCTGTAGTCTTGTCCTTTTCAGCCTTCTCTACAACCCCATCAGGAGTGGGGTTCCCCAGGAGTCTGATAAACACATCACCTAGACTGTCTACACAAACACACAATCTGGGCAAGAGAGATGGCCTTATAATTGCCAACTAACCTTCATTTGAATATCCATAGGTAACTCCAAATGCAATCCTCATCTCCAATTCCCCTTCCCCAAAACCTTCTTCTGATATTATCTTTGTGATTCCACTATCCAACAGGTGACCCAACCCAGAAATCTGGAAGTCGTTACTTTCTACTTCTCTATAGTAAGAGATACCAATTTTACTACCCGTTGTTTAAATCTGTCTCCTCCTTTCCACTCATACTACCGTTGTCCCAGTTCAGATACTAATCTGCTCATGTCTGCATAGTACTGACCACCTTCTAGCTTCACACCTTTCCAATCAATCCTCCAGGCTACTGTCAGTACAGTGGTCCCCTCTTATCCGCGGTTTTGCTTTCTACCGTTTCAGTTACCTGTACTCAAACACGGTCCAAAAATATTGAATGGAAAATTTCAGAAATAAGCAGTTCATAAGTTTTAAATCACATGCTGTTCTGAATAAAATGATAAAATCTCAAGCCATCCCTCTCCTTCCCACCCTGGACGTGAATCATCCCTTTGTCCAGTATTACTTAGACTGTATGTGCTACCCACCACTTTAGCAACCATCACAGTTATTAGATTGACTATCAGGGTATGGTTGTACTTGTTTTCAAGTAACCCTTATTTTAATTTATAATGGCCCCAAAGTGCAAGAGTAGTGATGCAGGCAATCTGGATATGCCAAAGAGAAGCTGTAAAGTGTTTCCTTTAACTGAAAAGGCAAAAGTTCTCGACTTTATAAGGAAGAAAACTGTATGCTGAGGTTGCTAAGATCCATGGTAAGAAAGAATCTTTTGTTGAAATTCTGAAGAAGGAAGAAGAAATTTGTATATTAGCATATATACAAGTTCAGTACTAACAGTATTTTCATACGTTTACTGGAGGTCTTAGAACTCATCCCCCGCAGATAAGGTGGGACTACTGTAATCTAAAATGCAATATAATCTTATCCCACCCCAGTTAAAAACTCTTCAAAGGTTCTCCAGATACTATGGGACAAATCCTTTTGCATAAAATGAGGCCCTTCATGATCTGAATTCATCCCCCAGTACTACCCTGCTTCCTTAAAGTAGTATGTCTTCACATTTCCAAGTCTTGGTAAATTACCTTCCCCTTTGAGTGAAATGCCCTCCCCTATCTGCATAGCAAATTTCCATTTCTTTCAAAAGCTAGTTTAAAAAACAAGTTCAGTTCAATGGCCACCGCTCTTACGAAGCCTTTCCAAACAACTCCAGACAACCTGAGGTCACCATGTACATGCCTCCATACCTTCATTTCCTTTTTTATATTTGCCTAGCTTGTGAGCTCCTTTACAGCAAGAATTTTTCATTTGTTTTCTTAAGGTAGCCTCACAGCACTTTGCTCATTACAGCACTAGATATATGTTTAATGACTAAAGACACCAGAATCAGTCTCATTATTTTATAGACACATTACATTTATTCTGAAAGATATATAAAGTATCTCAAAAGTAAAAAGTGAAACTAAACATTTGAAAATTAGGTGTTCAAGTCACAAAATATAGAGCTAATAAACAATGGATAAAGTAGTTATGACACACACATTAAAATTTCTGACTTGCTTAGTTTGCCTTTGATCGTGCATCTACTTTTATCAATAATAATTCTTTAATAAGTATGAAATATCATAAGTTGGTACATGGGACGGACAAATGACAACAGTTGCAACATCAGAATCTTTATATGAGATCTTCTAATTTCAGAGTAAAATTTGTATTGATCATTCCTAGCTTCCCAAGGTGAGTAAATAAATAAAAGATTAAAGGAAAATAACTTCACTTATGGCGATTATCTTTTCACATAACTATATTAAAAGAAACAATATAGGCCAAAACAGGACTTACATATATCCTTAACTGATTTTTAACATAGAAACTACATCATTTGCTCAAGTTGAAGTGATTATATGAAATTTTCAGTTTGTAACAGCTATAATCTAAAACTATATCTTTCAATTTATTCTAAATTCTCAGTGGCAATAAAACATGTCATTTACAAATAGAAATCTTCCAAGAAACTAATCAAATGATAAAAATGCTATCCAATCTACAAATGTTAGAAACTATTATAATAACATGGTTTTATGTAAACCGACCTGGGTCCATATGGAGGGGAAAAAGTGTGACCAAAGAAGTGTCCATATATATATCCATCCAACTTCTCAAACACTCCATCATTATCTACTTGATATTCCTTCATGTCTTTAAGATAATCTTTAACATCATTAACAAAGTCAGTGAAGAGCTTCTGATCATGTATAAAGACACCATTTAGGAAAAACTTATTGATGAACTGATCAAGTTCTTTCCAATGACGAAAAGCATCCAGTTCCTTTAATATGTACCTCTCAATTAACTGTCTAAATTCGTCTATCTTTACAGGATCCACCACTATATTAAAAAGGCTCATGGATTCTTGTCGAGCACATTCAAATACACCAGAACAAGCCTTTCTATAAGAATAATTTTCCCTACAGTCATGCTCAGCACTGCATTTTTGTGGATTTCTATCTTTTCTAAACTCTTCAAAGCGAATTAGTTTTTCTTTCCTTCCCTCTCTTCGGACAGTAGGGCCTCTACTATTCTGGTATTGTGTAGGTGCCTTATACTGTGGATGTAAATAGTCGCTAAAAACTGTTCTTGGTTTTTCAGCTGCTTCTTCTTTTGTAGCACCAAATCTTTTATTACCCTTTTCATCAAAGATATTCTTGGTGGTATCTTTAAAATGTCTGAAAGTGGATTTAACTGAATCTGAGAATTTTTTCAGATTTTCCTTCACAGCTTCTTTAGCCTGCTTAATTTTTTCTTTATGATGCCTCACAAACTCCTTGGTAGAATTCTTCATGGCATCAAATGTTTCCTTAACTGAACCCAAAAATGTTTCCTTTGGCTTATTTTTAGTCCGGTGGTTTCCTCTGCCCCCTTTCTTTTTTCCATCAGTTTCTTGTTTTCCATTTTGATCTTTTGCTTCAACATACAGTCTTTCCCACAAATCAGAACGCTGCTGTTCAAAGTTGAGCTTCCGCTCCAGTTCAGTGAGTCTGTCCTGTAAGACTGCTATTTCTTTTTTTTCAGTCAGTACGTTGGGAGAATCTGAGTTGCCATGTGACTGAGCAGCGCTTACCTTGCGGAGCTCTTCCCTCAACGCCATGGTTACTAGTCGCTCTCTCTCTGCTCCCCTCTTTAGCATCTTTGCTTCTGCCAGTAGAGTCTCCCTCTGACTCAGAAAGCTGTGCGTTTTCTGCTTTTCTTCTTCCAAATGCTGCTTAAGGTTCTGGTTTTCTATAACTAATTCAGTATTGGTCCCTTTGTCTTCCAATATTCTAATCTGTTCTCTCAGTTTCCTTAACTCTTCCTGTAGTAAAGATAAGGCTTTTTCTTCCTTCTCTAGAGATATTCTTAGATACTGATTTTCTGTAGCAAGGTTTGTTTTCTGAGTTTCAAAGGACATCTTCTCTGCTTGAGTAAGGGTCCAACATCTTGCAAGGTTTTCTTTCAACGACTAATATTTTTTGAAAGAGAAGAAAAACGTCAAGTGCTTTAAAAGCTGAAACTTAAGTCTTTAAGATATAATATACCATAAACTTTAGTGTCTGTATTTCTACAGACACTATCCTCTGGGTAGTATTTCCAATAGCATAAAAATAGGATAATACAAAGTTCATATGCAAGAAAATGCCTAGCAGAGAGCTACATCAAATTACAGACAACAGCATGGTGAAAGAATTTAAAGACAGGGAAAAGTTAGATAGAGCTCAATTTATCCTTAATAGGATTTCAAATACAATGATGGGGTACTTTTGATTAGTGTTTCCCATAATCATAAGAAGTTCTTACTGGTTTGTGGGCCTATTTATAAGTTAGGAGAAAAGGGGCTAGCTTTTCTATCTTTTGCCTACAGGGAAAGACACCTAGAGAATCTGATTCTTGGGAAGGAAGATTATCTTTTATAAAAAGTAAAATTACATCTAAAGCTGACTTCTGGCTTCAATAAATTGTTTGTATTCAGTGTACTCTTTGAAAGAAGAAACATTTCAATAATCTTAGTCCTACTTGAAACATTCTAGTCCTATGCAAACTAACATTTCTGGGTTAAGTGCAAATGAGCAATAAATTCTACAAGCATGTTAGAGGACAGACTGAACCTTGGTAACATTTATTACTAATTTCCTCAACTTCAAATAAACTTCTGAACTGACTATAACCCAGATTTCAGAAGCTCTATAATTTATATAGATTAAAGTTACTCTGAAGATAAATCTGTAGGTTACTATAACTCTGAAAGTTAGCACTCATGATAGTGGGAAATCATGTTAAATTAGTCATACAGAATTGATCAAGATAGCCTTGACTGATTTGATTTTTCTTTCAAACATATGCATTAGTAACTAATTTTAACCAAAAGTAGTGAAAAATTAAAGAATATGTTTCAACAGGTTGTTATATTATTATCTAGTCAGTTAAAATACCTTATGTATAAATCTGCAAAATGATACTTTAAATTTGGCTTAATTTACCACAGACATTATGATTATCCCATTTGAATCAGACCAGTAAATTATCTGGTTTCAGGAACAAGCAAAAAAAAAAAAAATCTTTAAGAGAAAAGCACTGTTTTACACTTGAAAAATAACTATCTGAAATGGTTTCTTCATTGCCTGGCTCAATAATCTTCAGAGAACAAATTAAGATTTAAAACTTTTATCATTTCATCTGCTGTACCTGCATGAGAGAAAACAAGTTTCATCTACCTAACAGCAATGGACTGTGGAGTAGAAGAAACTGATATAACACAATCTTTAAATGCACGAGCATAGAAAGTCATGGCAACTGAAGAGTGGAGAATTCCCCATCCAGTAAACACAATCTTGAAATAAGTGACTGATAAGTAGATCCAAAGCAGGTCTTTCAATATTTGAACACACTTAACAGCTGGAAATAATCCGAAAAAACTGACACTCTCTGAAGATTTTTGCATGGCCAGTCTCCTAAAAGTCCATATCATCCATGGAACCAGAAACCATGGCGGTAAAAAAGAAAATGGCATTTTCTGATACAGGTGGAAAAAACTGCACTATTTATAATTAACTTCAATATTCCTCCCTAAAAGACACAATTTGGATATAAAGTGGGCTTCTGTCTTACAAGAAATATAATCATAACCTATAAGGGATGTATACATAAATTAAATGTGAAGATTTGGGAATGGGGGAATGCAAGAAAAAAGCAACAGCCTACTTTTCTACCCTGAGTTTAACTACAAGCCCTATACCCTTCCTAGGAAAGACCTAGATAGGAAATCAACTATTTTTCTAGTCCTCATAGACACACAAAGGTATTGGGTATCTAACCAGATAGTACAGTCCTGTTGAGTCTAAGTGAGTTTTACGTATAAAAACATAACATGTTTCTCCCCTCCGTCAGAACTCACAAGAAACCAATAAAAAGGACTGGGAAGATATTGAAGAGACTATAAAGCCAACAGTACAGTCCTGTTGAGTCTAAGTGAGTTTTACGTATAAAAACATAACATGTTTCTCCCCTCTGTCAGAACTCACAAGAAACCAATAAAAAGGACTGGGAAGATATTGAAGAGACTATAAAGCCACAAGTCTCTTATTTCCTTCCTACTGACTAAAAATGTTTTGCATAGTTCTGTGAAAATAATGTTAATAATAATGTCTATATACATATATGTCAGTTTTAAATAATGATAATATAGTGGTTAGGAATAAGGGCTTTGCAGTCAGATACTTGGGATTAAATTAGTTCTGTCAGTTGCTAGCCTTGAGAAAGTTACTTAACCTTTCTGAACATCTTTCCCACCTATAAAATGAAATTAATACTTGCTTAATTCACAGGGTTTCATGAGTAATAAGAGAAATACTCTGTATGATGCACTCATGACAATGACTAGGACATAGCAAGTACCTGTATTCAGTGAACGATTATCAACATTATTAACATTTTACTAATCTACACTGTACTTGTATCTAAACAGCACAAAAATTATTGGCTAACAATTATTTTTTAGTATTTGTTAGTGGTACACACCTTATAATCCACGAAAGACTCTTGTTCTTGCTGACATTGGGAAAGATAATCCTTCATATCATTCAATTCATCTTCATGTATCTTTCTGACTAACTGTTGACGCTTCTGAATCTGAATTGTACCTAAAATAAAAATTTATTAGGGATATATAACATAAACATTATGATTACCAATATTTTCAGATATATAAAACATTTAATTTGCATATAACCTAACTACTTAACCCAGACAGAATCGTTTTCTTCAAAGTATCAGCAAGTCACAGTTCTTTTTAAAATTTTTGATTATATAAACAAAGAATAAATAAGTGAAAGCTCATGGTGTCACTCAGCAAATGGTGATTAATGACAAATGGTTAATCTTAATATAAATCAGACCAAGCAGGTTAACTTTTTAATTTATTTAGCATATAACCAGGAACATTTAAACAGTTCACTGTCCTTTTGATTAAAACAAATAAGCCAGCCCACAGGGATCTAACAAAAAACAAAAAAAAAGCCACAATTTAATGTTCTTATTTTAGTATATTGAAGTCACTCAGCTTTGTATTTTGAGGGGATCTTTGAAGTACAGGAAGGTTTTCAGCCTTCTTTACACAGTGAAATGAACAAATCATGGTGTTTTTCATAGGTCATAAGCCAATAACGAAAAATGAAAATGTCTGTCTCGCTCTTTTTAAATATTTTGCCTAAAGGATACAACATAAGCCCAAAAAGTACAGCACAAAAAATAACTGGCTAACTATGATTATACACCATTCTCAAAGCAAAATCTTTTAATTCCGCAATGATTAGATCTGTACTGGAGCACCACTATCCTTATCTCATCAGTGATAAAGGAATCTTAAACCAGTTAGGATTCTTTATATTTTTACCCTAAAAATCAAAATGTTACTTTGCCAAGACATGCTGTTCACATGCTGCTGCTACATGCTTCATGCATAAGGAAAAAAACCCACTAAATCAAAAATAAGGCAAAATGCACTCAACAACCTTAATTTTTTTTTTTTTTTTTTTTAAAGATGACCGGAAGGTGATCTGAACCCTTGACTTGGTGTTGTCAGCACCACGCTCTCCCATGTGAGCTAACCGGCCATCCCTATATAGGGATCCGAACCCGTGGCCTTGGTGTTATCAGCACCGCACTCTCCCGAGTGAGCCACGGGCTGGCCTGAGCGACCCCAATATTACATCTACTTAGTGGGCATACAGTTATGTACAGACATCACAGAATTTTACGATGAAAGGATATGATAGCTTACTATTTCTTCCCTTACTGCTACAAAAATTATTTTTTCATTTCTTTCATACATCTTAAAAAAACACTGAAAAAAAACCTTTCACCAATTTACAGACAACTGTTAAATATTCTTTTTTTTATTTCCCTTCTTTTTTTTAAAAAAAAAAGATGACCAGTAAGAGGATCTTTAACCCTTGACTTGGTGTTGTCAGCACCACGCTCACCCACTGAGCAAACCGGCCATCCCTAAAAAAAAAAAGATGACCAGTAAGAGGATCTTTAACCCTTGACTTGGTGTTGTCAGCACCACGCTCACCCATTGAGCAAACCAGCCATCCCTATATGGGATCTGAACCCGTGGCCTTGGTGTTGTCAGCACCATACTCTCCCGAGTGAGCCACAGGCCGGCCCCAAAAGTTAGATATTCTAAACACTAGTTAAAAGCTATGATATTGTGTTAGGATTCATTTCCTTTCTTTAAATTTTCCAATATATAGAAGCACAGCAAACTTATTTCAAAATTACTCCAAAGAATCTGAGATTTTTTTAAACATTGAAAGAAATTTATCTATTGTTCCCAGAGTGACAGAAAATAGCTTTCTATCGCTAACAAGATAAATTCCTTTGCCCACTGGAAAAATAACCTAAAACTGTGTTTAGATCTGAATTTGAGATACTGTAACATAGCATATGTTTGATGACTATCTTAATGTGGTCTTTTTTAATTTCACTAACTAAACATTGGGCTTTTGTCCCCTGTATCTTCTGCTGCCTAACTATAAAGTGTTACTACCCAAAATACAATCTTTGGCCTTCTAGTCATGTCTACATATGCTGCCTATCTTACCACATTAACCCATTGTTAAGTTTTTGCTATTACTCCTGTAAGACTTCTCATCTGCAGACAAAGTCCCTACCTCTCACAAGAGCTTCTAGCCAATACATCCAGCTGCCCATTGGCCAAAATTTGAGGGCCTCTTCATGAGGGGGGAAAAGAAATCAAACTTCAACCCCTGCCCCAAACCATTCTAGAAAAAATTTGGGTAAAAGTAAACCAAACGGTGCTTACCATCTATTTACCTTAACATCTACCAAAACCCTTCCCCAGTAACCCCAAACTCCAAAGTGAAGCAGCTAGCATGCTTGCTAGAAATTAACAAACCACCAATATTCCAAGTATCCAACTCAAAGTCCTAGTTTCCATTACTCCTTCAGTGTCTCTTATTTTACCAACTTTCTCTCTATCCTCAATGTCACTACAATTGTCAAGGCCCTCATCACCAAATATCTGGATTATAAACCTCCTAGCTTATACTATTCTAGTTTTTCCCATACCACTTACCTTCATGTACTTTTCCCTCTAAAATTATTACTGTCAGGTCACTCAATAAATCAAACTCTTACCCAAATTCCCAGATGTTTTGCAATATAACAGGACCCCCCATTCCATTATTTCTAAATACCTATTCTGCTGCAGTCCAGGCAGTCTTTTCATTGCTCCCAAACCCAACAAGTTTACTTCTTCCTCAGGTTATCAGGTTCTCCATTGCTGCAATGTTCCACCTTCTATTCTGCCTATCATAAGCTTACAAAGACTAGACCTAACTTAAATCCTACCACCTCCAGGATAACTCAGTAAGTGTACCCTTTGAGCTGTAATTCATGTCTGTGCTATATAACTTAGCACCTGGTTATACTGTCTGCTAGAGAGCCAGGCAGCCTATCAATACTTAAAGCAACTCCATGAGAAAAACAAATAAAGTGAACTCCACTGATGATTTAGAATATGGATAGCCTACAAGTGAAGATAAGAGTTTGTCTGCTAGAGAGCCAGGCAGCCTATCAATACTTAAAGCAACTCCATGAGAAAATCAAATAAAGTGAACTCCACTGATGATTTAGAATATGGATAGCCTACAAGTGAAGATAAGAGTAAGGAAGACTGATTCACACACGAAGATTATTTTTTAAACTTTTAGAAGCATTTTCAGAACCTGAAACTGTGCCAAATACCTGGAATACACTGTTTTACTATCTTTAGTCATGCTGGCTTTCTCTTCTTTTCAGTATAGATCTGACATTACAGATTTATATGGAGCCAAGGCTGCTGAATTTTCTAAGTGATTCACTTAGTATGTATCTGTTAAGTGATTATGAAGCAGATGATTGATTACAGAATGCAATGACTGACCTCATAGTGGATGGGAAATTGAAACTGGCTCTGAAATCAACTCCAGAAAGTGTTGAGATCAGTGCCAGAATTAAGAAAAAATGTGATGTCCTTTAAGTAGTGACCTTGCAACGTCACTCAGGTCAAGGCTTATATGTTTATTAAACCAGTCTCATTACTATCTAAACCTACTTCATACTGTATCATCCAGGCTTTTCATATTTGAAAAGGCTAATGTGAAAAAATACAGGAAAATGTTTTATTAATTGTAATTATTCAAGTAAATTTTACTAGTAAGCCAAATCCTAAATAACAGGGAAATAAGTTCTCAATTTTGAAAGTACTCCTCTCTAAACTAATCTTTCTACAAAATATTCAAAGGTCATGCAATAGGTAAGGTTTTAATGCAATGTGGATTAACATTGAAAGTCACTATCCAATTTTTTTTTTTTTTAAGTAACAAAAAAAGATTAAGATGAGACCTTCTCCTCTGTTACCTTCATGTTTACCTGTAGGGGGAAAAAATCACACTCAAAAAACATACTGATATATTTGCTCCAGCTAGATAGTCAATAAAAAATATATATTTCAAATCAAATCTCATTACAACAAATTTTAAGGGAGGATACAGATTATAGTATCTCAGTATTAAATTCAAACAAGCATCCATCAGGAGTCTAAATACACGTTTTTAATAAAATTAAATACAAAAATAAACAATTTCACTAACTCTGACTTTAAACAAGTATTGACTATCTTCATTACGTTTATTCTAACATTACACTATATTGAATAACATTTTCTTCCACAGATCAACATAGGGTACATGCAATTCTTCAATCTTAGCATAAGAAACACATTGTTGGAAGGGACTAGCAAAATAGAAAGTTAAACTGTGGATTGTGTAGGCAAAAAAAATCTAAAAGTAGTTAATATAAGGCAAACTAAAATTTGTAAAGTTTACAAGATCTAAGACATTTCTTTTTCACACCTCCCCCACTTTCCAAAACAGCAGAATATGAATGTTCAGCTCTCAAACACTGTCTTTGTACAAATATATACCTTAAATAAGAAATTCAATGGTGAGGCTCCTAAATAAAAAATAACACCACATGGAATTCCTTCCTCTTCTCACCCAAAAGACACTTAAAGCTTTGAATTAATAAGATAATCAATATACATAAACACTAACAAGCATAATATAGAGCAAAATATAAGGATAAAGATGAAAAATTCTCAATTCATGTGAATCATGGAAGCAACAATGAATGTCACAAAAATGATACTTACATTAAACTTTGAAATAGAAATAATAACTACTAATTATTGTTACATTTCAAATGTAACTATTTCAACTGGGATTTAAATAACCCTCCTAATAAAGTCACAGTTAAAATTAGTTTAACTGTGATTATAAATTAAAATGATTTGCCTCATAATGAACATTTCAGATTTTTAATCTTCCAATCTTTTTACTTTTAAAAAGTCACAAACACATCTGCTAATAATCTTTACGTTTCTTAAATAAATTACCAGTGCCTCATTTAAGTGCAAACAGTTTTCTGAGATAAGCAGCACCCATTTTCCAAATGAAAAAAAAACTGAGGCTCAAATAGGTTGCAAGTTTTCAAGATCATCTATTTAATGATGACACTGAAAACAGATCCCAGGATTTCTCACTGTTATTAAGTGCCTCCACAGTACGCCATCAGTTTATGTATAACACAGTTTCAAATACTCACCATAGAAATGTCCAAATCCCATGCTGATTGCAATCACCAAAGCAAGTATTATACACTTATTGAGACCACTACTGAATTGGCGTTTACTCAACTCCTTAGAAGGTTCAGTTTCTTGTTCAGCAAGTAGCCGTTCTTCACATTCTGAAGTAGAAACAGTCTTCTTCCTAGCACGGCGTCGTCTAAAGGCAGGACTGGGCTGATTACTGGTTTCATCACTACTTGATTCATCGTCACTAGGCTGACATGAAAATACTATTTTAAAAAGAAAAATATTGATATTTAGATATTAAGTTTTTTTTAAAGCTTTCCTAGTAAATAGAATAGTAGAATAATCAATGCCGTCCTACATGCCTTTTTACATGAGACAGCCAAAAACAAAAACAAAACACAAACAAAAACATTTTCAACATATCAACATAAAGTCAAAACATAAAAGATCTCAACTGTTACACATAAGAATCTATTAATCATATTATTCTGTGCTCATATTATTATTATTCTGAGTCTTTTTTTTTAACTCCTTGTGGTTTACACTGTTAGAACAATCATTCATTCTCGTAGCCTATTAAATTTCATTGCTATTAAAGGCATAAACAAGTACTATTTATGGTAGAAAAAACCAAAAAACAAAAAACCTCTATCTCTTCATTCAACTTCAAACAAAGGTAACTTAAGTTCAACTGTTTAAGGAACTCAGGAAAGTATATAAGCAGTTCCTGTAACGTACAAAGTACAATAACTGCCAAAATTTTCCTTGGTGTATCTGGTCCCTAGTTTCATTTCCATCCAATGTGCCCACAATCAAGGTTCAAAGCACTATAGTTTAACATAGGTTTCCAGAAGTCAGATGAGCCCTTCCCTTCGACTGCCACTCTTACTAGAAGGTTATTAATTTTACCCTCTAGTAAATATGTCAGCATGAGGAAGTGACACAACAGCTATCTCCGATATTAAGGACTAGTCTGGCGTTGCTCCTTTATGAAAAGAATAGTAAAGAACAACAAATCGGGCGGGCAAAATTGCATAAGAAATCCCAAGTCCAGAAAACATATACCCTCAATAATCACCTTCAGTTTCTTCCAGTTGTATAATTTCCTAACACTGTTCTATATAACAACAAACCATACGTTGACACAGAAAATTAGATCACTTAGTAATAATTTCCACAGGCCAGTTAGTAGAAAAGAAAAGCACTGAGAGTAAGGATAAAATGTGAACTTGAACTTAATACAAAGAGCTCCAAAACAACAAACATTCATGCTCCAAAAAAGCAAAACAGTTATTGAGAAGACAGGATATCCATGCCACAGGAAAGCTGGTGACTTAAGTTAGGCAATGCTTATTAAAGATGGATCATGGGGATTCAGTTTGCTTTCACACAACAACAAACACAAAGACAGAAGGCACTACTGAATGAATGGATATTCCTAATATTTAGTGAGTGATACAGATGCCACTGAAAGATCTTTTGGTCATGACCCTTATGCCCATCATGTTTATCTCGTTATTCTTGATCACTAGTTTTTCCAAGATGCCGTCGCCTCAGGTGTGAGGTTACATTTCTTGGATAAAGAGAAAGAAAGGAAGACTTAAACAAAGCATTACATAATACAAAGGTATTCATGATCATGGTTGTTGTATTTAAGTCAGACTTCCTGACACAGAATTAAGAGTGCTAAATGCAAAAACAAACAGTGTCAAAATTCCTTAAATAAATTTTCGGTTCTACATTAACATATTGCCTTCATTATATTTTCTAATAAACCAGTTTAACCCATATAAATATATTCATATCCTTATCTAATGCTTCCATCTTTTTAACCCATACATATAATAGCTGAAATATTTTTAAACTTCTTTTAAAGCTTAATTTGGCCCATAGTCCAAGATGCAAGCAGTGCAAAGACATGCAATAAGCTTAGCCAGCTTTTTACAAATTCAATTTTGAACATCTGTTTAGAGTATCACAGATGACAACAGGTATCTTTAAAGCACTTAGTAAATAGTATATGTGACTAGGCACACTCAGCTCAAGAGAAGCTGGTCAGATTTAGTCACACCACCTTGGAAAGCGAGTTGGCTAGGAACATGGTGTTTCAGCTGATCATCCCATCCCCTTATGCATTCAGGAATCTTCCACAGCTTCTCCCACCACCTTTCTTTTGTGAATAAACAGGAAAAAAGATGTATAAAGCTTTATTACAAAGAATAAAAAAGAAAAAAAAGAATTGAAAATACTTACTTTAATTATCACTTAACATTGTTATTTGTGCTAAATTAATATGTAATGATCATGCTTTTATTTAAACATACACACAATACAACTACCAATTTTGCTTTTTGGTGGGAAGAGAGGTCATTTGGAGGAAGCTGGTAGTGTTCCTAAATCAACAAAAAGTACACTGCCACAAGAATATAATTTTGTAGGGAAAAAAACCTGAAATTGAAATCCTATAAAGATGGAGAAGAAAGGGAAAGGAAAAAACAAAGTACTTTAGCAATGGGTAGCATGAAATCAACAAACCAATGGGGAAAAAGTAAAAGAAAGAGAACAAAAACTCTTGGCAACTGATTTATATACAATACTTTCAGCATAGTCCAAAATTTCACCTTTATTTAACATTTTATTTATTGAAACAATTAATTCCTTTAGGAGGGATAGCAATGGGTAAAAATACATGTAAGATATAAAATATCCCTCCTGAGTTTGCAAAATTCCCAAGAAGTCCGAGTTCAGAAAGAAGATAAATATTAGACTAGTGGGCTTAGAAATGTCCAAGTTCCTGAAAAAAATTAACAGTATGTAGTTTCTTTTATGTCTTATACGTCAGTTTCTTATATGTCTGCCTGGTCTTTTCTGTAATACTTCTGTTCAATTTGACTTTTCTGGCACATGAATATTCTCAAATTAAACCAGAGAAAGAGAAGGATGGGAAAAAAGACTACTTAAATACAGCACAAATCATGGAGCTTAAAAAAAATAATAAAATTTGATGAACAACAAAAATTCTAAAGTCAATTAAGCCCTCATAAATAAATAAATATACTACGTATGCTATTCTGACAAAGGCTGAATTCTTCCTCTGACCACTAAAAATGTCAGATGAGTATTTAAATAGCTGAATAAAGTATTTTCAAGCTCCTGTTCATAGGCAAATTACTTATAAACTAACCAAAAATAACTCATCACTAAATGAGGTAGCCAAGAACCTCTATTTGACATTTTTTTTTTAGCTTAAACTGGAATGACAGAAATTCCACTGCCTGATTCTGGTTGCCAAATGTAAACATAAAAGAATGGTAAAATCTAAGAAAATTATCTAAAATAGATACTGCATATTCCTATTTTTACATCAAATTGGGAAATTTTTGGAATCACTAGCAGTGCTCCAAGTTGTCTCTCCCATAATTCATCCTCAAGTTATGACTGTGGGTTACTTACAGGTTTGTATGTTATGTATTTTCCAGAAACTTTATGTCTACATATTTATACCACCTTGAAAGTTGTTATATACATTCCTAAAGCTCAGTTGATCAATTGTGGAAAGTAACCAGCTTAGCAACTCACACTTTAACCTCCAACTGATTCTGTCTCAACCATGGGCATTAACTGCATTAAAAACAGGACTTACAATAGATACATTTTCATAACACAATCTAGAACGAAAGATCCAAAGGTGAGGAGCTTTGGGAGACTGCTGTATTGATAGCTCTTTGAACAATGCTTGGCATGTAGTATGTACTCAATAGTTGTTCACTGACTAATAATTGAATGGATCTTAAAAACTTCAATAAGAATTTCTTTTGCTATTTCTATAATAAAAAACATGCACTATTGTAAACAAAAATACTAACAGCCTCCTGCTTTTAGATATAATGGCTCAATCTCCCATTCTTAAAGACCTTTAAAAAAAACAGCAAATGAATTTTGGAGTGTATCTCCTTGAAATTTTGTCTTCTATTTAATACGAGGGTATTTATGGTTACAGCAAATAACGGCTGTGCTCTAGGACACAGACTCTAGGAAAACACTAGATATAACAGTAGGCTTTATAAAAAACTGTCTGGAGTTTTACCCAAATATATTCCAGACTAGAGATTTAGGGTTAGAAAATAAGCTGTTATATAAAATGTGGTCATAGAAGTCCTTAAGTCTCTTATCAGTGTATTCTTTATGTTTATACAGTTCTTACCAGTTTCTGGCTGACAGAATGCATACTGGCTGCTAGAGGAAGAGCCCATGTTAAAGTCTTCTGAACTCTGTGCTTCTTTAACAATGAGAACTTCTTGATTTCCAATTTCTTCTAACTTAGGTGGCTCAAGGGTAACAATATCAGAATCATCACTGGCAGTTCCAAAACAGACATTGTCTTCAGGTGACTTTTCTTCCTCTGCCTGAAAAATCATTGTTTTAGAAACAGTAAATTCAACAATTATTTAAGGGCCTTATATTTTCTACAAAGTTCAAAGTATATAACGGTACTAAATATTATGATAATTTGAGGTTAAAATGAAAGATACGATTCCTACCCAACAGTAAAGGATTATGCAATAGCAGGCTCATTTTTTAGCTTGAGAACAACATTAAAACCTTTGGCAACTCTCAGAATTGGACTGGACCATTGCCTTCTAGTGAGCTGCAGAAGCTGAGAAGCCCATCTTTGCTCCTCAATAGCCATAGAAAGAGGGGCTGGCCCATTAGCTCACTCAGAGCACGATGCTGATAACACCAAGGTAGGGTTCAGATCCCTGTTCAAGCAAGCCGCCAAAAAAAAAAAAAAAACGTAGAAAGGAGAGTTCATCTCTCTCCCCAATTCCATGGGTTTATTTGAACATAACTCTGCAGTCAAGGAAACCATAAAAGACTGATTACACTTCTCTGGTTATGTATGTAATAAACTTCCACAGCTATGGCCATGTACTATGATCTGAATTTTGTGTCCCCCAAAATTCGTATTTGGTAACTTAATCTGCAATGTGATCATATTAAGAGCTGGGGGTTTTAGAAAGTAATTAAGTCACGAGGGCACCGTTCTCATTAATAAGATTAAGGCCTTTATAAAACAGGCTTCACATAGCTATCAGCCCTTTTTGCCTTTCCATTCCTTCTGACATATGAGGACACAGCATTTATCCCTCTTGAAGGTACAGCAACAAGGTGCCATTTTGGAAGCTGAGAACAGCTCTCACTAGACATTGAACCTGCCAGCACCTTGATCTTGGACTTCACAGCTTCCAGAACTGTAAGAAACAAATTTCTGTTCTTTATACATCACCCAGTCTCAGGTACTTTGTTACAGTAGCACAAACAGATTAAGACACCATGCAAAGATCATCTAGCTATCTAGTTTTATCTAGAAATCAAATAAAACTCCAAAGGACAAGATTTAGTTTGTTATCAAACTTAAAAACTAACCTTCATTTTAGACACAAAACCTAATAGCTTAATTTCTCAATATAATTCAAGAATGCAATCTATTTCTAAAGAAAATTATATTAGAGGTTAAAAGAACAGGTCTTTAACACAATACTAAAAAATTATTTTTCTAAATTAAAAGATATCTCACTTAATCAGAAGTCAAAACAGAAGCTAATTTTAACCTTTAAACTGTGGAAACTCAAAATTTTCAATAAAAATTGCTTATAACTCAAATAAGAATAGAATGTACAACCAGAAATGGAGGCTTTACTTACTATTCTCTAAGGATACTATTTATCATACATCTACAGAGTAAAATACAACTTTACCTCAACTGTTGACTTGGTTTCTTCCAAAGATGGATAAGCAGTTTCTCCCACTAACACTGTGCCATTTTGTCCACTTTCTGATATAAAGCAAAGACCAGTAAAATTATTTCTTCATTTAAAACATTCTGTTCATGGTTTGTAGTCTACATAAAACTGGGGAACATAAAAACCTATTCCTAATATGTTAAAGTGTATTTAATGAAATGCCACATACAATTATAAGTCACTCCACTGTTACTAATAAATTTCCATTATTTTAAACTGGCAGGAAGTAATTTTAGATACCAAACTGAACTAATTTAGGGCCTACTAAGAACTCAGATCAAAACAAGGGCTGGCCAGTTAGCTCAGTTGGTTAGTGTAGTGCTGATAACACCAAGGTCCAGGGTTCGATCCCTGTACCAAACCAAAAAAACCAAACAGAAAAAATATAACAGGACTAAAGACATAAAACTTGTACCTTACTATACCAAATTACTTAATCCAAAGTGTTTGTAAAAACCTGTTAATATGGAAAATCTATTCTCAGATACCTGCTGGCATGTTTCATGAATTCTTAAAAGTTCATTGAAAAATTCCTAATGATACCACCATTCTGATGGTTGTCAATGCTTGGTACCATAAGGTCCAAAACTATGGGTTTGAATTACAAACGCTTTACAATAAAAAAGAAACTATAAAAAACAAAATCTCAAAAACACAGAAAAACAAAATGTCACTACAAAAGATATATTTTATAAGAATCTCATCAAAGAAAACATGCACAAACAGAACACTGAGTTCACAATATATTTTAAATGAAAAACAGTATAAAATGTTAACGGAAGTTAAAAATATTAAATATAATAAAGATATAAATGTATGCACAAAGAATATACACCAGGTGTCAACAGCAATTATTTACAGATAAAAGAATTACAGGCCATTTTTAATTTTTTTCATTTATCATTATTTTTTCCCTATCATGAACATATATTTCTTATGTAATTTAACCCCTCCAAAGAATAGGGGAAAAATAAATACTTTTTTTTTTTTTGTCCTTTTTGAGACCGGCCGCACCAAGCTCAGCCAGTGAGCACTGTGAGTGCACCAGTCATCCCTATATAGGATCCGAACCCGCCACAGGCTCAGCCCAATAAATACTATTTTTGAGTGTTACATAACTCCTAACAGAATATTAACTTAATCTGGAGACGAGACTCAACAAAGGTAGTCTTTGGTCCAAGGACTCCCAAAGAAGTATGAATATTTTTTATACATGAGTAAATGCATTTCTTAGAAGAGACCATGCATAGCTTTCAGATTCTCAAAAGGATCTCTGACCCACAAAAGATGAGAATTCATTGTTCAAATGAGAATAGTAATCAACACATAGGCTGGAAAAAAATAATTACCAGGTATAATCTCTTCTATTTCTAGCCTTGACACATTCACTTTCATCTCCTGAGGGGAAAATGTTCTGTTTATATTTTATTGCAATTTTTTTAAAAAGTTTAGCAAGTAATTTAAATATGAAGATGAGAATATACAGTAATTAATTGGGAGCTGTATTTCTCTATACAAATAATGTAGGCATCATATCCCACAAAAAGTACATACAACATCAAAGTAATACAGTATGAAACAACACTTTACCAAATTCTAACCAGAATACTCTCTAGCATGATAAGTGAAGAAGAGTTTAGTAAATCTCTTGTGATGAATTAGTAATTTTGTATATTACTTAATATTACTAGTTAAGTCTTAACATTATAGTCTTAACGTTACTAATGACAAGTAAATATAAATTAAACTGCCAAACAAATTCCTGTTAAACCATGTAACGTAATATTTAGTGACTGATTACATCTGTATTATCAAAGTGTATCCAGAGGCCCAAACATATACCACAGCCACAAATAAACAAACCCCTGGGGCAGACTGGTGACACTGGGTTCTGCATGCCTTCTCTAAATCCATGCTAAAGTTCTAGTCCTTCAGAGACCTGATTACTTAGATTAGCCAGAAAGAAGGAAAGATTGAAAATGTCATTCACATATCTTATTTAAAAAATAAAAAATAAAAAAATCAGAATTTCTTAACAACTTACCTCCCACCTCTACCTGCAATACTTGTAGCTCCTCTTGCTCTGAAGATGAACATTCTTGTGTGAGTGCACAGCTGTCACTGGCTGTAACAGAATTCACCATCTCTACATCAGATCCCTAGGAAAAAAAGTGATAATTATTCAGTTATTTGCCTATTAGCTTCTCAAAGCTGGATTTGACTACATGTAAATGCTTCCATTATTAAAAATCCCAGATGCTACTATACTCCTAAAGAACAGTATCTAATCTGATTGGCTTTTGTTGAATTTAGTCCATAAAGGCCTATGGCAGAACAGAGTCAGAGGTTTAGATTCTAAGTCAAATTAGCCCCAAAGCAGAATGCTCTATTATTTTTTGAGCCCAAAGCAATAAATCTGAATCCTGGATGATGTGTCTGAACTTAGCTATTTCTATTAATTTGCTTCTACTGAACATTTCTGCAACTACTCTAGACAAGGCACTTTGTTAGGTGTTGTGGGATATAAAAAAATTCAAATCCAAAATTCAAATTTACAGGCTGGCCAGTTAGCTCAATTGGTTAGAGCACTAAGGTCACAGGTTCAGCTCCCCTTACCAGCCAGCCACCAAAAAAAAAAAAAAAATTCAAATTTACAATATATTCAGAGAAACAGCAACATGCTTTTTATGCTTATTATGGCAGCGTAAACTAAAAATGTTTAAGGGCATGGATTAAATGAACCCATTAGGTTAATGGAATATTTTCCTTATAAAATTTTAGACTATTTCCTGAGGTTATCCTTCCTCCTTTGATGTCAGATTGTCTTTTCTTTAATAAAATAGCAGATCTTACAGTCTTTTTCCTGCCTTAATTAGCAAAAATAAAGTTAAACGCTAAGCTGATTCTGCCTCTCCCCATTTCTCCAATAGTTTGCTGATCCAAGAAATTGAAAAGTCTGAGTTCTCTTGATATACATAACTTAAAACAGCAAAAATTAAAAGATTCATGAAAGGAGTAGCCTTTAAGATGGGAGTCTTGAAGAAAATACAGAATGTAAGACTTGAGGTTGCCTATAGTGGCAGAACTGTAGAAGCTAAGGCAAGGTTAGAATTGGATTAGGAGGGCTGGCCCATGGCTCACTCGGGAGAGTGTGGTGCTGATAACACCAAGGCCACAGGTTCGGATCTTATATAGGGATGGCCGGTTCGCTCACTGGCTGAGCATGGTACAGACAACACCAAGTCAAGGGTTATTACATAGGGATGGCCGGTTCGCTCACTGGCTGAGCATGGTACAGACAACACCAAGTCAAGGGTTAAGATCCCCTTACCGGTCATCTTTTAAAAAAAAAAAAAAAAAAAAAGAATTGGATTAGGGATTCCTGGGGAAACCAGTTCTGGCCTAAATCAGAATGGTGAAAGAAAGGAAGAGGAAACATGTAAGAGACATTAGCAAGAAAAAGTAGAACTTGAAAACTAGACATAGAGGAAGAGGGATAAACGTACAAATATGATTTACTCAGTGACATGATACAGAACACTCTAATGACACACTTGACTAAGTACCAAAGAGGTTTGTTGTCTTGCTCCACCCTGCAGACCCACAAGTAAGAGTCCCATAGCTGCCTTGCTCCTATATTGTTAATTATCCTTGAAGGAAAAGTTGCTATGGGAGTTGATCTACGCTTCGCAGAAAACAGGTTAAAAACAGAAAAGTCATTTATGATTTTTTAAAAAAGAACCACCTCGATCTCAACTAGTATAGTTGCTATTAAATTCTGAAACTTTAATGCATAAAAAACAATCATGCTTTTTTGTTAATGCTGTTTTCTAGAAGACATGACAAACTGTCTAAACCTTAAATTACCAAAGTAATTGTAAAAAAAAATTACCATTTAAAATTTTTATTAATGAAGAAAAACAAGTGAGGCTTATGAGATCCTACAAACAAAAGGGAAAACTATAGAAAACTCCATTAAAATTTTCAACAAGTACAGATAATTTTTATTTTACTGTGTCTGTTCATCAGTATCCTATGAGTTTTTCTATAATGAGCTTACACATAAAGCAATGTCTATCATGTACTAGTTATGTACATTCATTGTATGTATATCATTCTTCTACCATAAAATTCATTTTGTGATAGGGTTCTACCCATAGTCCTTTTCCTGTCAAGTTCTCCTAATGTAACATGGTATAACATAAGTGAAACATACATTCTCCATCTTCCTTTCTGGTCTGTTCAAATCCAGGCTCTGATATTTTCTAGTTACAAAATCTTGACCAAATTATTTAATCTCTCTCAGCTATAGTTTTCTCAACTATAAAATGAGAATGAAAACAATCTATACCACAATGGGTTGCAATAAACCCTCAATAAATATTTGCCTAATATCTCAAAGCTAGGGAAACCTATGTACAATAATTTAAAAGATGCTGGCCCATGAAGAGTTTTTAGCAGTGAAGTTTAATGTTGATGGGAAAATGTCCAATGGGAGCTTTTGCTTAAATGTAGACAATGGAACCTCTGCCTTAAACAGAAAAATACTGGCCTCCAAAGAACACAGTTTACATCACTGCTAACACTGTAATACTACAAATTACCTTATAAAAAGTATTAAACATCATACCTCATGATTGATGACAGTCCAACCACAAGATGAATCACTGTCACTGGAATTTTCGGACATTTTTCAGGTCTACAAATACAAGAACATATTGACTTGTGGCACACATTTTTTAAAATTCTATAATTAAAATGCTATAGGAAGCACTACACATAAGCTATGAAAAGTGGCTCGCTGCCTTCCAGGTGAAATCAAAAGACAACTCACCCAGATATTTACCATACAGGACATGATATGATTGCATATCTGTATGAACAAAAACAACCAAACTACTAAGACAAGGAGATTCTCCTGGGCTACTAGAATAGTTTGAACAGTCATATTGTTGGAATGAAGAACAATATTGGGTAAGAAAGATAATGCAGGATTTGGCCAGGCCGAGCTAAAGGAAAAGGAGAAACCAATTTGATCATGTAAGTCAGTCAAGGGTTGGGGGAATGGTGAATGGGGAAAAGACACCAGCAGTAAAGGCCTATATTTTTAAGGCATGAACAGCATTGCTGAAGAAACCAACAAGTAGGGAAGAATGGAAAAACTCCCACACCAAGTAAAATAAAGTCGATATGTTAACAACACAAAGCAATTTAAATTTTTCAAGGAGAGAAGGAACATGATCAAACAGTTTTTATGAAAATAACCATCAGCAATACTTCAGTTGGACTAAAGCAGGGAAAAAGAAAGAAAAAAAAAAGAACTGATGTTACAAACTTATGGTCACTGGCAACAATCTAGACTCAAGTCCTAAACCAGCATACACTGGTCACTCTACCTGGTTTGTTCTCCCTTTTCTATTTGAAAGTCCTTTCAACTTCAAAACCCAACTCATTAAAGTGATTGGTATTCTTACTCACTTGTTCTACACATCTAAATCTTCTGATTCTATTATCGCACAAATACAGTGAACACATTAGATCCAAGTTGACAGTCTATGTTCTAAAGAACTCTACTACAAACAATTTGAAACTAGTGCTCAAATGAGAACCAGGCAAAATATAGATGGGAATCATCTGTTAATGATTCTGGAATCTCTTGTAAATAAATATTTCAAAAAGAGAAGATACAAAGAGGTTGGTCTCTAACAGTATAAAAATTAGCATGTTTACAGATAAATTATTCAAAACTTGAAATAAGATGTAAAGATGATTGCGTGACTTTTAATGATATGCTACAGTATTTTCTAATGTTCACCTGAGGTCATCTGATTACTTGATTTCCAATTTCAATTGATTAGGGCCCAGGGAGTTTATTATAAATTTAAAGGTAAATTTGTAGAAAACTATTAGGGTGAAATAAATTTTTTCTGTCCAATAGAGATTATCCAAGAGGCTACACTTTGAGTATCCTCTAGGGCCCAGGGAGTTTATTATAAATTTAAAGGTAAATTTGTAGAAAACTATTGGGGTGAAATAAATTTTTTCTGTCCAATAGAGATTATCCAAGAGGCTACACTTTGAGTATCCTGAAGGATATTAACCGGTTTTATATCTCAGCGGTTTTATTTCAACATTCTTTATTAAACTGGCTATACAAAACCCAATTTCTCATTGAACCAGTTTTCATGAGTTTAATTTGAAAATTACATATTCACATATGGGAACACACAAAGACTGAGCAGTTGAATTTACAGGGGGAAAGGAGAATGGTCAATGAAGGCTTTATAAATGAGGGTGCAAATTAGACGGTATTTTTTTAAACTAAATTAACAGTTGCCAAAACTTAAAAACTGAGATATTACATAAAAATAAAGATCTGGTTCCTCATTAAAAAAGAAATTTGAAGATCTGATGACAATGGAAGGAATTCCCAAGTGAGACAGGGAAAAGCATCACACAGCAAGAACAAAGGCAAAAAAACACCCATTAATATGAAAGTTCTAAAAAGGGCAATTACTCTACCATGAGTGAGTGGAATGTTAAAAGATCAGATCTGAATTTTCAAAAGAACATATATTAGAATGGGGAAGCAACTAAAGACCTCTAGACCTGCGGGATACAAGGAAACAATGTAATATTCCGTGAAAAAGATGAGCACTTCAATTTAACCAGTACTGGTGAGGGGGAGGGGGTAAAAAAGGAAGGAGGGTTTAGGAGAGACATTTGAGAAGACACTTTAAAAGGATGGAATAACCAACAATAGAAGGGAGGAAGCATAACTCCCAGTTTTCTGGTTTCAGTGACTGGATGACAGGAAAAAAAATTCTATCTGTATGAAACAAGATGTAGGTAGGGCTTTGAGATAGAGAAAATAAGCTAAAGCCTAAAAAGCATTCTTTCTTCACCATGAGAAAACTTCTCTACTTCCCTTTGCCCTTCCCCCTCCTAACCTCCTCTAGTAGCTCACATTCTCATCGCTGCTCCATCTCACCCCCTGAGATTTACCTGTGCTTTGTTTTCTTAATAACACTCCAAAACTTCCAAGTTACTGGTCAGGGATATTTAATATGCTGAAGTCTCCTATTCTCTAGGTAATTTCCATTTAAACTGGTAGTCCTATCCCCTTACCGGTCATCTTTAAAACAAATAAATAAATAAACTGGTAGTCCCTAGCTTTTGTTTTCTAATAAAAGGCTCCTCTAACCGCTCAGGAGATGAAATAAACACTTAAAGACAACATTTCAAAAGAAAGTAATATATATTGCTAACTGGGACAATTCATACTTGAAATTTCTCAAATCAATGAGCCCAGTTTAATCAGGCCCTGTTTAATTCTTTGTTTACTTGCTTGGGGGAAGGACTAGATTGACATCTAGTCTAAATGAGAAAAAAGATTCTCACCAAGACAGTTTGCATAAGGAAAATTCACAGGCCCTTTTAATCTGGCTGTTGTCAAAGCAAAAAAACAAAAACTTTCTGGTTAACTCTAGACACACTGACTATCAAAACTCCCTTGGTATTTAAACCTACACACTGCAGCCAGAAATCATGCTAAAATGATAATCTCATTGTCATTCCTTAAAAATGTTAATATTTTCACAAAATCTTTTATCTCTAGCATCTCATCCTCTCACAGCTCATTTTTCTATTAACCCTTCCAATTCCCCTAAAAGGAGTGGCTTTCTCTCAACTCTTGGGCTTTGCATATTCTGATCAGTTGCCCATCCCCTTACCTCAACCCAAACTCCTATGCTCATCTCATTTAATGCATCACTTCCTCACTTCCTGCATGAACCATTCCCTCACCCAATCCCCAAAAGACTCTAGTATTTTCCCTAATCTAGTAATTAAAATAGAATGCTGGCTGTAAATGCTTGTTTATCATCCTATTACATATTCCCAACACAAAGCACAGTGATTGACACATACTACACATTCAATTAAAAAAGGTAAACATTTCTGGCTGATGACAGCAGTTACTGACACAAGTCTAAATTGTTCTTGTGCAAGCTACTGTATGATTTCTTTCTTGCTTTCTTCACAAAAGTTTATTCTTAAATGTACAACAGGCTCCAAGACAATACATTCCAGCTAAAGGTGGCAAAAGGTGGAAATGCATAAACCTTTCTCATTTTAAGGGCTTTACTAACAGTAATTTAGAAATAGGTAGTTTACCGGAAAGTTACAAAGGCATAAGAAATTGTACAGTTTTCACGCTAAGCTACAGTTTCTGAAATTTGTGAAGACAACACACTTGAAGCACTTTTTAGACTCAGGTTTCCTTTTATTCCTCAGGATGGTTTCTTTAACCAAATCTTCAGCCATATAGTCCCAATTGCTTTTGATGTCCACTGTAGGTTTCTCAGGTATTTCAAACACAACATCTACAAAACTGAAATCACCTGCCTGCTCCTCCTCCTGTTTCTGATATCTCAGAGAATAGCATTATAGCCAGAAACAATATGGCTACAAGCAAAAGCCACCAAACATTCAAGTCAAAAGTCCCCGACTTAGAAGGCCAGCCTGTGGCTCACTTGGGAGAGTGCAGTGCTGATAACACCAAGGCCACGGGTTCGGATCCTATATAGGGATGACTGGTTAGCTCACTTGGAAGAGTGTGGTGCTGACAACACCAAGTCAAGGGTTAAGATCTCCTTACCAGTCATCTTTTTTAAAAAAGTCCTTGACTTAGGATAACTAAATTTAGGATGACTGCTATTTCGGGTGGCAGGGTCTGGGGAAGGGGTGGCAGGCACCACTCTGGCCTCAAAGGTGGCAAGAAGCCCCTGAAACAGCCCAAGAAGCAGGCCAAGGGGATGGACAAAGAAGATAAGGCGACTTTCAAATAGAAACAAAAAGAGGACCAGAAGAAACCCAAGGAAGCAAAGGCCGCAGGAAGGGCCCCCTGGCTACAGACAGAATTAAGAAATCTGGCAAAACGTAAACTGTTCATTGTGCCTGAGAGGATGGTGATCCCTGATTCCATTCCATTTAAACATCTAGATGGCCTGCCGTAACATCTTCTGCCACCTATAGCTAGAATGAAATGTTGTGTTGTAGCCTGTTGTACATTTAAGAATAAACTTTTATTAAAAAAATAAAAATAAAAAAGACAAAGAAATCATACAGTGCTCATCACCTCTTTAGTTGTTTTCACTCAGCCATTCCTACCTTGGCTGTGAATTTAAACTCAGCCCAGAATCCTGATAAAAAAAATTTTTTTTTAAATTTAGGATAACTAAAACTTTACCTTGACCCAAAAATCCAGGCAAGTCTTACTCCTTATTTATTCTCTTTTCCACTGCCTAACCCAACTTCATCATTTCCCACTTGAATTATTACAGCTGTCTTAACAGAGCTCTACATCCAGTTCCAATGCCCCTCCAATCACCACTTCACAAAGCTGCCTATACTAATAAGTATATCCTCAAATAAAATTATAGGAGGCCATTGTTTTGGACTAAGTTTCTGCACTAGGCCCCAACAGACCAAGACTAAAAACCAAAATGGAGTCACTCCTGCTAAATTCCACATTACTTAGATTGTGATCTGATTTTCCAAGAAATCAGGAGAAAGAGATTAACAGCCAATTACCCAAACAGGTTAGTTTAAATCTTTAATAGATATCTTCTGCTTTGATCCTTACACAAAAGAGACAGCCTAAAGTAATCTGACACTTAGTCAGTTATTTTTCTATTC